GGCAGCTTCCTCCGAGGGATTTTCCCGGTAAGACTGGAATTACAAATGTAATGGAAAGACTTTAGACACATATTTGATTTGAAGATCAGTTCTTTGTCTGTTGCTGTCCTTTTGTCTGGCTCACTAGAAAATCCAGGGAGAAAAAGGGCCAGCCCAATTGGGTGGTAAAAGCAGCATATCAGTTCCCACAGCTAACAGACTTTTGGGGACTATGTGTTTTTTCCTCTTATTCCCTTCAATTTTCCAATTCCCTAAGTTCAGTGCGCTATTAGGGTGTGCAACCAAAGTTTCTGCAGTGAGTACCTGTGGATAATGGGGGCTTTATCATGGGAATGATTTGCATATTGGCCTGCTTCTGCTCTCATGTTCTGCCAGTGGACCACTTTAGAGTGATACTGAGAGCCTTGAGAGGAAAGCCAAGGCCCTGAGAGAAAATCCCTGACCTTCACATCCCAGCGTCAGCACAGTACATGAAGGGGAGCGCTCTTGAAGATTATTTCGGGACACTAACAAACAGTGCTCTCTATAACAGGAACCAACGCCATGAATTTCATAAGCAAAGAGGAGTCCTGGGGCACCTTATAGACAAACATATTTATTGGAGTACACTTCAATAAATCTGTTCGTCTGTAAGGTGCCACAGAACGCCTTGCTGCTTTTGCAGATTCAAACTAACACGACTACCCCCTGATACATTAATTTCATAGTTTACCGTGGAAAGTTAAACATCAAGTATGAATGTGGTGCCATGGAGATCAATGACACTCCCCTCACCCAACCAGCCAGGCGCTCACCCTAAATCCACATGTTGGGAGCTAAACAAATGGTCGGATTTATCCCCGGCCATTAGCCTCTAGTGATGTCAACTGGAGGGATCCCATGATCTTGAAAGAGGGGTGAGATCATGCAGAGCAAACAAGAGCAGACAGAATAGCAGAGGTGCTACAATCTGAAACTTACCATGGAGACTCAAAACAATTAGGAGAAAAAATAAGGATGGGAAGGGGTCTGCTCTCTCTCCGTCCCAGTATCTCTAGTTCTGGCGAGGGTAGAAAGCACCAAAGGGCAATACAAAGAGAAACATGATTCTGTTATAGAGGAAACCAGGCAGTGATGGTCTGGTGAGGTCTGTAGTGTGTGTGTGGTGGGACAGGGCTGGACAGGGGCATGTGCAGTTTCCAGACCATAGTGGCATGGGGGCCTGAAAGTGAGTGAAATAGGGAAAGGACAGCCTGCCTAATGAGCAGAACAAAGAGACATAGCGAAGCCTCTTGGCTCACAGGAGTGTCATGTAATTAAGGACTACGCTGTAGCAGATTTTCTCTGACCCTGCCCCATGACTAGCCCATACCTCCTCCAGTGAAGCCTCATAGCAGTGTCAGAAGTTGCCAACAGAGAAAAAACAGCTTCAGGAAGGTCTGGCCAGGTTCAGAACTGGCTGCAATACAGTACAAATTTGTCATTGGAGGAAGAGTTACTCAAACTGGATCCTTTTAGCCTCTCTCCCTCCCACTGGGCATGTCCCTCTTTTCTTCCTTGCCCAGGTTGAGCTGCTGCTGAGGTTCCCTTTGCCCCCAGAAAGGCAGCTCAAGCCAATTCCCCCTCCTTTTCCTGGTGCAGACATTAAGTTTAAGCGAGTCTGAGGAGATATTTCTTTGAGCTCTTGCTATAGGGTATGGCACCTAGTTTGGTGCAGGGGATGCACTAACTCCACACAGGCATGTGACCAGGCCATGTCACCCTAGCGTCCCTCTTGGGCAGGCTGTAGCCTCTCTGTTGTTAGTTCATGCATGGCTGGTCAGAGAACCTGCATATAAGGTCAGCTGGGAGGATCCCTCTCCTTGGGTGAATGTTGGCCGAGGTGTCTGACTCAGAAGAGGTCTACAGCTTCTCCCAGCAGAACACTGAGAGAGGGAGTCAGAGGGCTCAATAGTTCGTCATTCCAGGTAGCACCCTAGGAGAATGAATCACATGATGCTCCTCAGCTGTTTTAATCTCCAATCACACTTTGACCCCCTGTCCGTAGTCTCCTTTCCCATCCCAGCCTGCCTTGATTCAAACAGCATGCTAAGATGCTAGCTGCCAGTGTCTTCTCCATGGTCCCCAGTGATCCCTTTCTTCCACACTCTCCACGCAGGGCCACACTCTCCGAGAAGCCCTACGCTTCCTGCAACTCTTGCCGTGCAGGGGTGAGGTGACTTTCTTTACACCTGCTCCCTCAGCTGGGGGTAAGTGTTGATTGCATCAAACACACAGCGTGGCAGTTTCCAAGACAGCTTCGTGTGCTCTATACACATACACACTCCATGGTGATTCAAGGACTGCTTCCCCACCCTCCTAGGGAAATAGTTTTTCCTTATATCCTAACAGTGTCTCCTAAGTCATTCCGAGAGCAGATCTTTTTGAGAAAAATAGAAAAATATTCAAAGATTCTCAGTGATGAAGAATCTGTCCAGAGCACTTGATAAATTGCTCCCGTGGTTATTTATTCTACCTTATTTGAAGTCAGAATGTCTTTAACTTAAGCTTCTAGTCATTGGATTTGCCAGATATCTGTAGGCTAAGCAGAAAAGCTTAATAGTCAAGATTGTTTCTCCCATGGTTACTTACAGATAGTCATCAAGTCACTACTAACCAATTTTATAGATTGAGATCTATGAGTCTATCACCCTGACGGCAAATTTTCTAATATTTTCTTGTGACTCTTGTCTGAACCCTCTTCAGTGTATCAACGTCCATCTTCACTCATAGACACCAGACTTGGAATCCAGATTCCAGCAACTTACATGAGTGACAAATGGTAAGGTAAAATAATTTGTCTACCTCTCCTTAAGATTCCCCCGATTGTCATCTCAGGATCACACTGACCTTTTTAGCCTTGAGGTCTGTACCTGAAAATGCAAAGACGTTCCTGTCCTTCATGCCCATTTTGTTGAACACAACATCACCTCCCAGCATTATAATAGCTGTTTCCATGAGGAAAACTTGGCTCCTTCCCAATATTGGAATTGCCTCATGGATGAGATCTATGGTCCACCTAGTCCAGGGTCCTCTCTCTGACAGTGACTGTCACCGGGTCTGCAGTAGAAGATATAAGACACCTATCATTTGACGGAAGAAGGGGTGATCTGACCATCGTGAGCTTGTCACACTAATGCCTTACAGCTAGAAATTGGAATTTGCCCTGACATATGTTGGCATGTAGGTTTCCTAAAATATATATGTAGCTAAAAATATTGCAAATGAACAGTCGTATTATCCACGTAAATGTCCAAACCCTTCTTGATATTGCTTAGCTCATGGCCTCAAACACGTCTTGTGACAATGAGTTCCTAAGTCTAATTAAGTGAACTAAGCATTCTTTTTATTTGTTCTGAATTTGCCAACATTTAGTTTAATTGAATGTCCTCTTGCCATGATATGAGGAGACCAGGAGAAGACATTACGGACATTGAAGTTCATCTGCTGTTATGCTTCCAGCTCATCTGTAAGGGAGCCATTTTTGGAGTGTAGGGGGGGCAGCAGTCGTGAGCTCTGAGACATTCCCGGACTGTCAGGGAGTGTGGGGAAAGCGCTTGCATTCCATGCATGCCTCTCACAACTGACTGGTGAAGGGAGCTCATAAGCCAGGTGTGAGAGGCATGCACGGAATGCGAGGACTTTCACCTCATTCCCTTAGTATCTAAGGAAAGGGATAAAAAGCAAGCCACACAGCTGCTGCCCCCCATCTCTCCCAAAATGGTGCCCTTGCTCACCTGGCTCTGTTAGCTCTCCATAGAGACCTCTCTAGTCTTGACTATGAGATAAATAATTGGGTGCTAGCTGTGAATGCTGCCACCTCACTGCTCAGATTCCTATCTAATTTGTTATTAACTCTGAAATAGTTATTGTACTATTTATTTGACGTGTATAACCCTTGATTATGCTTCTTTCCCTTCACAGGCACCTTGAGGGTTTCTGAGTCTGGTCAATGCACCAACCTCCTCATGGCAACTTTCAACCTCACTCCTGCTGACCCTTCAACATTCATCCTAATAGGCATCCCTGGCCTGGAAGCTGCTCATATCTGGGTTTCCATCCCATTCTCCGTGTTCTATATTATGGGCCTGTTGGGAAATTTTATGTTTCTGTTTGTGGTAGGCAAAGAGCAGACCCTGCACAAGCCGATGTACCTGCTGATCTGCATGCTGGCGCTCACCGACATTGGCATGTCCACCTGCGTCGTGCCTAAAGCTTTATGTATATTTTGGTTCAATTTGAGAGACATTACCCTGGTTGGCTGCTTCACCCAGACATTCTTCCTTTACATGGTTTCTATTATGTACTCAGCAGTCCTTGTCATGATGGCTTTTGATCGCTATGTGGCCATATGTAACCCTCTGAGATACACCACCATCCTTACCAATGCACGAATCGCTAAGCTTGGATTTGTGGGTTTGATGAGAGCTGTTCTCTTCATTCTGCCAGAGCCTGTACTCCTGAGCAGGCTGCCGTTCTGTGCCAATCAAATGATCCCAAACACATACTGCGACCACATAACTGTGGCAAAAATATCATGTGGGGACATCACATTCAACAAGATATATGGCCTGTTGATAGCATTTGTAGTTATTGGCTTTGATCTGACGCTCATTGCCCTGTCCTACAGTCTGATCATCAGGGCCGTCCTCAGAATTTCCTCCACCTGAAAATGCAAAGACGTTCCTGTCCTTCATGCCCATTTTGTTGAACACAACATCACCTCCCAGCAATATAATAGCTGTTTCCATGAGGAAAACTTGGCTCCTTCCCAATATTGGAATTGCCTCATGGATGAGATCTATGGTCCACCTAGTCCAGGGTCCTCTCTCTGACAGTGACTGTCACCGGGTCTGCAGTAGAAGATATAAGACACCTATCATTTGACGGAAGAAGGGGTGATCTGACCATCGTGAGCTTGTCACACTAATGCCTTACAGCTAGAAATTGGAATTTGCCCTGACATATGTTGGCATGTAGGTTTCCTAAAATATATATGTAGCTAAAAATATTGCAAATGAACAGTCGTATTATCCACGTAAATGTCCAAACCCTTCTTGATATTGCTTAGCTCATGGCCTCAAACACGTCTTGTGACAATGAGTTCCTAAGTCTAATTAAGTGAACTAAGCATTCTTTTTATTTGTTCTGAATTTGCCAACATTTAGTTTAATTGAATGTCCTCTTGCCATGATATGAGGAGACCAGGAGAAGACATTACGGACATTGAAGTTCATCTGCTGTTATGCTTCCAGCTCATCTGTAAGGGAGCCATTTTTGGAGTGTAGGGGGGGCAGCAGTCGTGAGCTCTGAGACATTCCCGGACTGTCAGGGAGTGTGGGGAAAGCGCTTGCATTCCATGCATGCCTCTCACAACTGACTGGTGAAGGGAGCTCATAAGCCAGGTGTGAGAGGCATGCACGGAATGCGAGGACTTTCACCTCATTCCCTTAGTATCTAAGGAAAGGGATAAAAAGCAAGCCACACAGCTGCTGCCCCCCATCTCTCCCAAAATGGTGCCCTTGCTCACCTGGCTCTGTTAGCTCTCCATAGAGACCTCTCTAGTCTTGACTATGAGATAAATAATTGGGTGCTAGCTGTGAATGCTGCCACCTCACTGCTCAGATTCCTATCTAATTTGTTATTAAATGTGAAATTGTTATTGTACTATTTCTTTGAGGTGTATAACCCTTGATTATGCTTCTTTCCCTTCACAGGCACCTTGAGGGTTTCTGAGTCTGGTCAATGCACCAACCTCCTCATGGCAACTTTCAACCTCACTCCTGCTGACCCTTCAACATTCATCCTAATAGGCATCCCTGGCCTGGAAGCTGCTCATATCTGGGTTTCCATCCCATTCTCCGTGTTCTATATTATGGGCCTGTTGGGAAATTTTATGTTTCTGTTTGTGGTAGGCAAAGAGCAGACCCTGCACAAGCCGATGTACCTGCTGATCTGCATGCTGGCGCTCACCGACATTGGCATGTCCACCTGCGTCGTGCCTAAAGCTTTATGTATATTTTGGTTCAATTTGAGAGACATTACCCTGGTTGGCTGCTTCACCCAGACATTCTTTCTTTACATGGTTTCTGCTATGTCCTCAGCAGTCCTTGTCATGATGGCTTTTGATCGCTATGTGGCCATATGTAACCCTCTGAGATACACCACCATCCTTACCAATGCACGAATCGCTAAGCTTGGATTTGTGGGTTTGATGAGAGCTGTTCTCTTCATTCTGCCGGAGCCTGTACTCCTGAGCAGGCTGCCGTTCTGTGCCAATCAAATGATCCCAAACACATACTGCGACCACATAACTGTGGCAAAAATATCATGTGGGGACATCACATTCAACAAGATATATGGCCTGTTGATAGCATTTGTAGTTATTGGCTTTGATCTGACGCTCATTGCCCTGTCCTACAGTCTGATCATCAGGGCCGTCCTCAGAATTTCCTCCAAGAAAGCTCATCCGAAAGCCCTCAACACCTGCACAGCCCATATCTGTGTGATTCTGATTTCTTATAGTTCCTGCCTCTTCTCCAGTCTTACACAGCGGTTCGGTCAGGGCATCACTCTCCATGTTCACGTCATCTTGGCTAACGTCTATGTCATCATCCCCCCCATGCTCAACCCAATCATTTATGGGGTCAAAATCAAAGAATTTCGTGACAAAGTGAGCAAATACACCTGCAGAATCTGACCGCCTTGTTACAATTGTTTTAAACATGTGTGAAAGAGAAGGAAAGGAAATGTCCTCATGATCTCAGGGTGCTCTTTCGGCAGAACTCAGAATTGTGGAATTTCGCAGTCTGAGGAGTTCCTCAAACCAAATTTCTTATCACTCCATCACCAAGTACTGCTCTCTCTGTTGCTAAGTTCCCTCTGTCTGACCATCATCAGAATTCTTTCACAGTCATCGGTTCCCACCCTCACACACACTGGCTACATCAAGACTGCATTGCTTTTCCAGGATACCAGAGTTATCCCAGAAAACCAACGCTGCGTGCAAGGAATGCGTCCAGCTTTCTGACAAATTTTTTGAAAAAGCGGACCTGCTCTTTTGAAATCCCTGTAAACTTCTACTGCACAGCATAAGGGATGTACTGAAAGAGCACTTTTTTCTGAAGATGCACCAAATTTCAGAAAAGGCTCTTTTGAAAGTAAATTGGAAAAGAAACTCAATTTGCGTACCGCAAATTCCTTTTCTTTTTCTGATTCAACTCTCAGTCTAGATGTAGGCAATGCCACTTGACCTTTCTGGATGACTGGAAGACACTTCAGTTTTCTAAGGAAAGGTGGCTTTCCATTAGACCCCGTCTGCGCAGATTTTGATGAACTGAAGCAACACTTGTCACAGCCAAAGACAAAGTGAGTACCCACAAAGCTGAATTTGAAGGATGGACTAGTTGACCTCTTGATTTCTCTTCCAACCATCATTTTTTATGATTCTTCATGATATGCAATTACCCAGTGAGAAAAATGTACCTCATGTTTCTACATCTGATCCTTTAGGAAACCTGGGGGTAAACCACTGGAAAGTGAAAATACTGGAAAGCTGCTGCAAGAATGGAGGATATTCTATGCAGAGAGAGTTGTGAAACTGTGTGTTTTTGAGAACTGGACTGTGTTACCCTTAACTTGAGTCATGCACGCCCCAGAATGTGATCAAGGTAAATGCAATTATATGGTGTATATGCAGCCATTATAAATTCATCAATTAAAACACCATATAGTTAAGGGGTAATTGGAAAGCAGACTTTTTGATGCAAGGTTAAAAATCTAGATTTCTGTGTCTTCTAATCAGAACGGGAAGAGTAGGCGTACACGTAAATAAGTGAGTGTGAAAGAGGGCCTGTGGATGAAAAGCTTGAGTCTAGACTTCTATGATTTTAGAAGTGTTTTGGAAGCAATGAAAAGTGACGATCCAGTAAGAGTTATTACGTATTTTGCAGAAGTTATAGAAGATCTGCTAATACAGTGCAATTTGGAGTCTGCCACACAGGAGAACAGAAGGGAAATCCTTGAGGTCAGGCAGGCCTCTGGATAAAAGGAATGGGGGAGAGGACTCAAATCCTTTCACTAGCAAATTTACCTGAGGTAATGCAGAAGCCAGGGAAATTCCCCTCAGTAGTCCTTCACTTACGTTAAGGTGTGTCTACACTGCACCATTATTTCGAGATAATTAGCATTCTTTCAAAATAACTATGCGAGCGTCTACACAGCAATTCCATTATTTCAAAATAATTTCGAAATAACGGACAGCTTATTCTGAAATCTCTAAACCTCATTCTGTGAGGAATAATGTCTATTCCAAAATAGCTATTTTGAAGTAAGGCATGTGTAGATGCTCTGCTGCTGCAATTTCGAAATAGCCTCTCACTAGGCCATTCTAAATTATTCCTCTCCTAGGCTTCCTGGGGCTCTAACTCGAGGCAGCACATCTACGTTAGAGAAGCCTGCCTCACAATAATTTTGAGGCTTCTCTGCAGTGTAAACGCTATTCCGGAATAGCTTATTTCGAAATAAGGGTGTAGGTTAGACATACCCATAGGGAGGTGAGGAAAACTGATGGAGTAGATTTTAGTGATGTGTAATACGATGTGTTAATTGTGACATCTTGGTAGAAATGATAAAAACTGAAAAGTGTGAATGTGGGGCACATCCTTTCTGTGTAAGGTGCGTGTAACAACCATGAATGAGAAGACTCTACAGAGACTGGCACTGCTGAAAACATTTTTTTCGTTACTATTTTATTATGGGGATCCAGCAGTAAATGTGTCATTGTTTATTTGGGCCCTTGAATGTATTTTATAACACATGAACACTTAGCCAAGCAGTTGACTACACAATTGATCAACAACCAACATAAATCACTCCTCCTTGGCAACCACAATGAAGGCACCTATGGAAGTAATTCTACTTTGGAAAAATGCGGATGAAGCTTTAGGAGCACTGGAGCATTAAAGGAGTGAATGGAATTTTTTTAGTTTGAGTTGTCTCGTCTGTGCTCGAAAGACAAATTCTGGAAATGGTAAATGCTGTTTCAATATGGCAACAGTTGCAGAACACACACCTCGCCAAAGCAGCTGTACTACCTCCCCAAACCACTGAATTTGTAGCTGTGGGTCAAAATGAGTCCAACTTAGTAAAAGTTCAGCAAGTCAATTCTCAGGAGAATGGGGCAGGCAAATTGTGCCGTGCCCCTGTCATTTTGCTTTTCCCAAACACTCCTCTGAAGAGGAGTGTTTGAAAAAGGCCAAAAGAGAAAGGAAAAGCTCATTAGGCAGAAGGGCAGGAAGGAAAGTAGTTCTGCTACCACCGGACCCTGGGAAGGTGAGCCGAGGGAAGGCATTGTCTTTACTAATTGGTCACACAAAGTGATTTCAAGACAAGCAGAAAATGGACAAAAAGCAATCGGCCAATGGGGTAAAAAGTGTGTGTCTGCATGAAGTTGTTTTGTTTAAAGCCATGGCCCATCCCAAATAAGTTAAAGGAGAGGAGAGGAGCTCACAGCTCTTGATCCCTGGCAGGTGAACATTTGGAAACAGCTTTTAAGGCTTGTCATAGAATCCCAGGGCTCGAAGAGCCTCAGGAGGTCACCGACTCCAGCTCCCTGCCCAAAGCAGGACCCCAAAAGAAATCTGATGAGGTTCAACAAGGACAAGTGCAGGGTACTACACTTAGGATGGAAGAATCCCAAGCATTGTTACAGACTGGGGACCGAATGGCAAAGTAGCACTTCAGCAGAAAAGGACCTAGGGATTACAGTGGATGAGAAGCTGGATATGACTCAACAGTGTGCCCTTGTAGCCAAGAAGATTAAAGGCATATTAGGGTGCATTAGGATGAGTATTGCAAGCACTAGAGAAGTGATTATTTCCCTTTATTTGGCATTGGTGCAACCCCACTACAGAAAGGATGTGGATACATAGGCGAGGGTCCCGTGGGGGACAACCAAAATGATTAGGGGACTGCAGAACATGTTTGGGAACCTATGCATTAGACTGAGGAACTCAGTGTCACAAGAGGTAGTGGAGGCCATGAGCTAAGCAGGAAGCAGGAAAAGCTTGGACATCTACAAGGATGATCTACAGGATGACTAGGAGGCTGGAGCACATGTTATCGATAATCGTTTCCTCACTCTCGGTGGAGTCATTCAAGCTTAAACTCTCCAGGGTCTATTTTCTGCTCTTCCCACCGCTCATGGAACGGAGGGAATTGTCCATGGATGCCAGCCAACCTGAGAGTCCACAGAGACTGCACAGGGGAATCATAAAAGTCGGTGCCCAGGACACCGAGTGCCAGATGTGTGAGAGTCATGCAGGGCGTCTCAGAACTCTGCTTTCCTGCCATTATAAGGACAATTCCTTTCTCCCCAGGGTGGCTGTTCAGGGTGTTGCCTGTTTCTGCAATACATTTTGTGGTAGGGCTGAGGAAGGATTTCAGGGGTCAAGACAGAAACCATCTCAGCACGAATTCACCGACGTGGCAGCTTCCTCCGAGGGATTTTCCTGGTAAGACTGGAATTACAAATGTAATGGAAAGACTTTAGACACATATTTGATTTTAAGATCAATTCTTTGTCTGTTGCTGTCCTTTTGTCTGGCTCACTAGCTTCCTATTTGGGGACTATGTGTTTTTTCCTCTGATTCCCTTCAATTTTCCAATTCCCTAAATTCAGTGCGCTGTTAGGGTGTGCAACCAAAGCTTCTGCAGTGAGTACCTGTGGATACTGGGGGCTTTCTCATAGGAATGAGTTGCATATTGGCCTGCTTCTGCTCTCATGTTCTGCCAGTGGACCACTTTAGAGTGCTAACTGGGAGCCTTGAGAGGAAAGCCAAGGCCCTGAAAGAAAATCCCTGTCTTTCACATCCCAGCGTCAGCACAGTACACGAAGGGGAGCGTTCTTGAAGATTATTTCGGGACGCTAACAAACAGTGCTCTCTATAGCAGGACCCAACGCCATGAATTTCATAAGCAAAGAGGAGTCCTGGGGCACCGTATAGACAAATAGATTTATTGGCGCATGCTCCAATAAATCTGTTCATCTATGAGGTGCCACAGGACTCCTTGTTGCTTTCGCAGATTCAGACTAACACGACTACCCCTCTGATACATTACTTTCATAGTTCACAGTGGAAAGTTAAACATCAAGTGTTAATCTGGTGCCATGGAGATCAATGACAGTCCCCCAGCCCAAACTGCCAGGCGCTCACCCTAAATCCATATGTTGGGAGCTAAACAAATGGTCGGATTTATCCCCGGCCATGAGCCTCTAGTGATGTCAGCTGGAGGGATCCCATGATCTCAAAGGAGGGGTAGGCTCATGCAGAGCAAAGAAGAGCAGACAGGATAGCAGAGGTGCTGCAATCTGAAACTTCCCATGGAGGATCAAAACAATGTGGAGAAAAAATAAGGAGGGGAAGGGATCTGCTCTCTCTCTGTCCCAGTATCTCTAGTTCTGGAGAGGGTAGAAAGCACCAAAAGGCAATACAAAGAGAAACATGATTCTGTTATAGAGGAAACCAGGCAGTGATGGTCTGGTGAGGTCTGTAGAGTGTGTGTGGTGGGGCAGGGCCGGACAGGGGCATGTGCAGTTTCCAGACCATAGTGGCATGGGGGCCTGAAAGTGGGTGAAATAGGGAAAGGACAGCCTGCCTCATGAGCAGAACAAAGAGACATAGCGAAGCCTCTTGGATCACAGGAGTGTCATGTAATTAAGGACCACAGTGTAGCAGAGTTTCTCTGACCCTGTCCGATGATTTGCCCATACCTCCTCCAGTGAAGATTCCCACCACAGCCTGATAGCAGTGTCAGCAGTTGCCAACACAGAAAAAACAGCTTCAGGAAGGTCTGGCCAGGTTCAGAACAGGCTGCAATACAGTACAACTTTGTGTCATTGGAGGAAGAGTTACTCAAACTGGCTCCTTTTAGCCTCTCTCCCTCCCACTGGGCATGTCCCTCTCTTCTTCCTCTTAAACTGAATGTGTGCTAGTGCTGGACCCATGCTCAGGCTATATCTAGCCTTTGTATAGAAACTTGAGAAACCCATGCTGCTAAGCAAATGCACCTTGTACCTTGAAAATCTGCCTGTAGCATCAATTAGGTTGAGAAACTGTGAATTCATAAACAATCTCATTTGTGTGTTATCTCTCACAATCACTTAAAATCTACCTTTTGTATTTAATGCATTTCTTTGACATTTTAATCTAAACCCAGGGGCTATGTCTACACTGGCATTATTTTCCACAAATGCTTTTAACGGAAAAGTTTTCCATTAAAAGCATTTGCAGAAAAGAGCGTCTAGATTGGCACGGACGCTTTTCCGCAAAAGCACTTTTTGCAGAAAAGCGTCCGTGCCAATGTAGACATGCTTTTGCGCAAAAAAGCCCCGATCGCCATTTTCACGATTGGGGCTTTTTTGCGGAAAACAAATCTGAACTGACTACACTGGCCCTTTTGCGCAAAAGGACTTTTTCCCTTTTGCGGAAAAGGACTTTTGCCTGAACGGGAGCAGCATAGTATTTCCGCAAGAAGCACTGATTTCTTACATGAGATCGTCAGTGTTCTTGCAGAAATTCAAGCGGCCAGTGTAGACAGCTGGCAAGTTTTTAAACTTCCCAGTCTAAACACAGCCAGTGTGTTTTTAAGTGAAGTAGCTGGGAAAACAGAATCCCAGCTGGGTTGGCACGTGTGCATTTTCCTCCCTACATTGAGGGAAGGGAGATGCAGAAAAGCCGTTCATACTGGCCAAAGTTTGTAACAGAGCAGGACGGTACAGCTCTGGGTTCCTAGTCTGGGGAGTTGGTAGCTATTTTGCCATAGCCTCTCTGTTGTTGGTTCATGCATGGCTGGTCAGAGAACCTGCATATAAGGTCAGCTGGGAGGATCCCTCTCCTTGGGTGAATGTTGGCCGAGGTGTCTGACTCAGAAGAGGTCTACAGCTTCTCCCAGCAGAACACTGAGAGAGGGAGTCAGAGGGCTCAATAGTTCGTCATTCCAGGTGGCACCCCAGGAGAACGAATCACATGATGCTCCTCAGCTGTTTTAATCTCCAATCACGTTTTGACCCCCTGTCCGTAGTCTCCTTTCCCATCCCAGGATGCCTTGATTCAAATAGCATGCTAGGATGCTAGTTGCCAGTGTCTTCTCCATGGTCCCCAGTGATCCCTTGCTTCCACACTCTCCACGCAGGGCCACACTCTCCAAGAAGCCCTACGCTTCCCGCAACTCTTGCCCTACAGAGGGGAGGTGACTTTCTTTACACCTGCTCCCTCAGCTCGGGGTAAGTGTTGATTGCATCAAACACACAGCGTGGCAGTTTCCAAGACAGCTTCGTGTGCTCTATACACATACACACTCCATGGTGATTCAAGGACTGCTACCCAGGAACAACTCGCAAGCTGAGAATTAAGCACATTAGCTGAGAGAGGACAATGCAGGGACATGTACAGGAAAAGATAAATCCAGTTGCCATGTCAAGGAGCCACTGCTAGCTGCCTGAAACACTGGGCCTCTAGCATACAGACTTTGAAACCAGGATGCTCTGGGAACATTTGATAGCCAACTCACTTAGTCATGAATGGTGAGTCCAAACCCGTGCCCAAAGCAGGACTAATCCCAACTAAATCATCCCAGCCAGGGCTTTGTCCAGCCAGGACTTAAACACCTCTAGGGATGGAGATTCCACCACCTCCCTAGGTAACCCATTCCAGTGCTTCCCCACCCTCCTAGGGAAATAGTTTTTCCTAATATCCTAACAGTGTCTCCTAAGTCATTCCGAGAGCAGATCTTTCTGAGAAAAATCAAAAAATATTCAAAGATTCTCATTGATGAAGAATCTGACCAGAGCACTTGATAAATTGCTCCAGTGGTTATTTATTCTACCTTATTTGAAGTCAGAATGTCTTTAACTTCAGCTTCTAGTCATTGGATTTGCCAGATATCTGTCGGCTAAGCTGAAAAGCTTAATAGTCAAGATTGTTTCTCCCATGGTTACTTACAGACAGTCATCAAGTCACTACTAACCAACTTTAGAGATTGAGATCGATGAGTCTATCACCCTGACGGCAAATTTTTTAATATTTTCTTGTGACTTTTGTCTGAACCCCCTTCAGTATATCAACATCCATCTTCAGTCATAGACACCAGACTTGGAATCCGGATTCCAGCAACTTACATGAGTGACAAATGGTAAGGTAAAATAATTTGTCTACCTCTCCTTAAGATTCCCCTGATTGTCATCCCAGGATCACACTGGCTTTTTTAGCCTTAAGGTCAGTGTAGGAGATTGTGTTTAGCTAATTATCCCTTCATGTCCAAAACCTTGTTCAGAATTGTTACGCTTTCCACAGTAGTGCCCCACTGCGTAAGCATCACCTGCATTCTTTGTTCTTAGATGGTGATTTGTTCAGAGCTGTATCATAACACATATTATTCAATTCCACCCAATGTATCAACCCATTAAAAAAACTCTGGCTCATTGACCCCATCCTCTGTTTATGTGTCTTCTGCAAACTTCAGGGATGAGAACTGCTGATGTGATTATATGCGACTCTGCTGACATTTCTCAGGCAAGAAATGTAACTTATATCGGAAAGAAAGCTGGGTGCCTATAAGAAAGATGGTCACCAAACAAAAAACAACAAAAAACAACAAAAAAGGGGGGAAGTGACATAGGTGCTGGTGTGTAGCTGTAAATGCAAAGACGTTCCTGTCCCAGAAGCCCATTTTGTTGAACACAACATCACCTCCCAGCAATATAATAGCTGTTTCCATGAGGAAAACTTGGCTTCTTCCCAATATCGGAATTGCCTCGTGGATGACATCTATGGTCTACCTAGTCCAGGGTCCTCTCTCTGACAGTGACAGTCACCGGGTCTGCAGTAGAAGATATAAGACACCTATCATTTGATGGATGGTGGGGTGATCTGACCATCGTGAGCTTGTCACACTAATGCCTTACAGCTAGAAACTGGAATTTGCCCTGACATACGTGGGCATGGAGGCTTCCTAAAATATATATGTAGCTAAAGATGTTGCAAATGAACAGTCGTATTATCCATGTAAATGTCCAAACTCTTCCTGATATTGCTTAGCTCATGGCCTCAAACACATCTTGTGACAATGAGTTCCTAAGTCTAATTAAGCATTAAGTGTACTAAGCATTCTTTTTATTTGTTCTGAATTTGCCAACATTTAGTTTAATTGAATGTCCTCTTGCTATGACAAGACCAGGAGAAGACATTATGGACATTGAAGTTCATCTGCCATTATGCTGTAAGGGTGCCATCTGTAAGGGTGCCATTTTGGGAGTGTAGGAGGGGCAGCAGCTGTGCGTTCTGGGACATTCCAGGACTGTCAGAGAGTGAGGGGAAAGTGCTTGCATTCCTTGTGCTTGAAGGTGTGCGAGACATCTGTAGCTAAAGATGTTGCAAATGAACAGTCGTATTATCCATGTAAATGTCCAAACTCTTCCTGATATTGCTTAGCTCATGGCCTCAAACACATCTTGTGACAATGAGTTCCTAAGTCTAATTAAGTGAACTAAGCATTCTTTTTATTTGTTCTGAATTTGCCAACATTTAGTTTAATTGAATGTCCTCTTGCTATGACAAGACCAGGAGAAGACATTATGGACATTGAAGTTCATCTGCCATTATGCTTCCATCTCATCTGTAAGGGTGCCATCTTGGAAGTGTAGAGGAGGCAGCAGCCAGCGCTTGCATTCCATGCATGCCTCTCACAACTGACTGGTGAAGGGAGCTCATAAGCCAGGTGTGAGAGGCATGCACGGAATGCGAGGACTTTCACCTCATTCCCTTAGTATCTAAGGAAAGGGATAAAAAGCAAGCCACACAGCTGCTGCCCCCCATCTCTCCCAAAATGGTGCCCTTGCTCACCTGGCTCTGTTAGCTCTCCATAGAGACCTCTCTAGTCTTGACTATGAGATAAATAATTGGGTGCTAGCTGTGAATGCTGCCACCTCACTGCTCAGATTCCTATCTAATTTGTTATTAACTCTGAAATAGTTATTGTACTATTTCTTTGAGGTGTATAACCCTTGATTATGCTTCTTTCCCTTCACAGGCACCTTGAGGATTTCTGAGGCTGGTCTATGCACCAACCACCTCATGGCAGCTTTCAACCTCACTCCTGCTGACCCTTCAACATTCATCCTAATAGGCATCCCTGGCCTGGAAGCTGCTCATATCTGGGTTTCCATCCCATTCTCCGTGTTCTATATTATGGGCCTGTTGGGAAATTTTATGTTTCTGTTTGTGGTAGGCAAAGAGCAGACCCTGCACAAGCCGATGTACCTGCTGATCTGCATGCTGGCGCTCACCGACATTGGCATGTCCACCTGCGTCGTGCCTAAAGCTTTATGTATATTTTGGTTCAATTTGAGAGACATTACCCTGGTTGGCTGCTTCACCCAGACATTCTTCCTTTACATGATTTCTGTTATGTCCTCAGCAGTCCTTGTCACGATGGCTTTTGATCGCTATGTTGCTATATGTAACCCTCTGAGATACACCACCATCCTTACCAATGCACGAATCGCTAAGCTTGGATTTGTGGGTTTGATGAGAGCTGTTCTCTTCATTCTGCCGGAGCCTGTACTCCTGAGCAGGCTGCCGTTCTGTGCCAATCAAATGATCCCAAACACATACTGCGACCACATAACTGTGGCAAAAATATCATGTGGGGACATCACATTCAACAAGATATATGGCCTGTTGATAGCATTTGTAGTTATTGGCTTTGATCTGACGCTCATTGCCCTGTCCTACAGTCTGATCATCAGGGCCGTCCTCAGAATTTCCTCCAAGAAAGCTCATCCGAAAGCCCTCAACACCTGCACAGCCCATATCTGTGTGATTCTGATTTCTTATAGTTCCTGCCTCTTCTCCAGTCTTACACAGCGGTTCGGTCAGGGCATCACTCTCCATGTTCACGTCATCTTGGCTAACGTCTATGTCATCATCCCCCCCATGCTCAACCCAATCATTTATGGGGTCAAAATCAAAGAATTTCGTGAGAAAGTGGGCAAATACACCTGCAGAATCTGATTGCCTTGGTACAGTTTTTTTTAACGTGTCACAAGAGAAGGAAAGGAAATATCCTTATTGCCTAATGGTGCTCTTTCATCAGAACTCAGAATTGTGGAATTCGCAGTCTGAGGAGTTCCTCAAACCAAATTTCTTATCACTCCGTCACCAAGCACTGCTCTCTCTGTTGCTAAGTTCCCTCTGTCTGACCATCATCAGAATTCTTTCATAGTCACCCATCGGTTCCAACCCTCACACACACTGGCTACATCTAGACTGCATTGCTTTTCCAGGATACCAGAGTTATCCCGGGAAACCAATGCTTCGTGCAAGGAATGCGTCCACTTTTCTAACAATTTTTTTGAAAAAGCAGACGTGCTTTTTTGCAATCCCTGTAAACCTCTTCTACAAAGCATAAGGGATGTATTGAAAAAGCACTTTTTTCTGAAACTTGGCACTGTGTAGATGCGCCAAATTTTGGAAAAGTCTCTTTTGAAAGTAAATTGGAAAAAGATACTCAATTTGCGTACCGCAAATTCCTTTTCTTTTTCTCATTCAACTCTCAGTCTAGACTTCGGCAATGCCACTTGACCTTTCTGTGACTTCTGGATGATCGGAAAACACTTCAGTTTTCTAAAGTAATGTGGCTTTCCATGAGACCCTGTCTGAGCAGAGTTTGATGAACCACTTGACCTTTCTGTGACTTCTGGATGACCAGAAGACACTTCAGTTTTCTAAAGAAAGGTGGCTTTCCATGAGACCCTGTCTGAGAAGAGTTTGATGAACTGACGCAACACTTGTCACAGCCAAAGACAAAGTGAGTACCAACAAAGCTGAATTTGCAGGATGGACTAGCTGACCTCTTGATTTCTCTTCCAACCATCGTTTTCTATGATTCTTCATTATATGCACAGTTACCCAATGGACAAAATGTACCTCATGTTTCTACATCTGATCCTTCAGGAAGCCTGGGGGGTAAACCAAATGTTTCCACTGGAAAGTGCAAATACTGGAAAGCTGCTGCAAGAATGGAGGATATTCTATGCAGAGAGAGTTGTGAAACTGTGTGTTTTTGAGAACTGGACTTTGTTACCCTTAACTTGATGCATGGATGCCCCAGAATGTGATCAAGATAAATGCAATTATATCGTGTATATGCAGCCATTATGAATTCATCAATTAAACACCATATGGTTAAGGGGTAATTGGAAAGCAGACTTTTTTGATGCAAGGTTAAAAATCTAGCTTTCTGTTTCTTCTAATCACAATGGGAAAAGTAGGCGTACATGTAAATAAGTGAGTGTGAAAGAAGGTGTGTGGATGAAAAGCTTGAGTCTAGACTCCTATGATTTTAGAAGTGTTTTGGAAGCAATGAAAAGTGACAATCCAGTAAGAGTCATCATGTATTTTGCAGAAGTTATATTAGATCTGCTAATACAGTGCAATTTGGAGTCTGCCACACAGGAGAACAGAAGGGAAATCTTTGAGGGCAGGCAGGCCTCTGGATAAAGGGGCTGGAGAACATGCTTGGGAACCCATGAGTTAGACTGAGGAACTCAGTGTCACAAGAGGTAGTGGAGGCCATGAGATAAGCAGGAAGCACTAAAAGCTTGGACATCTACAAGGATGATCTACAGGATGACTAGGGGGCAGGAGCACATGACCTATGAGGAGAGAGTGAGGGATTTGAGTTTATTTAGTCTACAGAAGCTAAGAGACTGAGAAGGGGGATTTGATAGCAGCCTTCAACTTCCTGAAGGGAGGTTCCAGAGAAGATGGAAAAAGGCTGTTCTCAGTGTTGACAGATGGCAGAACAAGGAGCAATGGTCTCAAGTTACAGTGGGGGAGGTCTAGGTTGGATATTAGGAAGAACTATTTCCCTAGGAGGGAGAGGAAGCACTGGAATGGGTTGCCTAGGGAGGTGGTACAATCTCCATCCCCAAAGGTTTTTAAGGCCTGGGTTGACAAAACGCTGGCTGGAATGATTTAGTTGGGTTGGTCGTGCTTTGAGCAGGAGGTTGGACTCAATGACTCCTGAGGTCTCTTCCAGACCTAAGATTCCAGGATTCTAGGATTCAAGCATAGGCTGCGGTAGAGGTTTTTCGTGTGTCGAACAGGCTGTTTTATTAACAGTACCGTTTGTTATAAAGTATGTAATCTCCCTCACTCTGCTTCTCCCCCTTCCCAGGAATGTTGAGAATTTCAGAAACCTATCAACCCACTGACTACTTCATGGCAGTTTTCAACTTCACCCACACTGCCTTTTCAACTTTTATCCTCATGGGCATCCCTGGCCTGGAAGATGCCCATATCTGGATTTCCATCCCATTCACTACAATCTACGTTATCTGCCTGTTGGGCAATTTCATGGTTCTGTTTGTGATAGGAAAAGAGCAGACTCTTCACAAGCTGATGTACTTGCTGCTGTGCATGCTGGTGCTCACCGATCTCAGCACAACTACCCTCGTCATTCCGAAAGCTCTGTGTATATTTTGGTTCAGTTTGAAAGACATTAGTGTAAGTGCCTGTCTCACTCAGACCTTCATTATTCATGCAGTTTCTATTATGCACTCAGCTATCCTTGTGGCCATGGCTTTCGATTGCTATGTGGCCATATGTTACCCTCTGAGATACAGCACCATCCTCACTAATGCACGCATCCCTAAGCTGGTGGCTTTCGATTGCTATGTGGCCATATGTTACCCTCTGAGATACAGCACCATCCTCACCAATGCATGCATCACTAAGCTGTGGTTAGTGAGTTTGATAAGAGCTATTCTTTTAGTTGTGCCCCTACCCCTGCTCCTGAAAAGGCTGCCATTCTCTGCCAACCGCCTTATCCCCCACATTTACTGTGACTACATGGCTGTGGCAAAGACGTCATGTAGTGACATCATAGCAAGCACAGTTTATGGCTTGGGGTGGCAGTTGTAGTAATGGGATTTGACCTGATGGTCATTGTCCTATCTTATTCTGTGATCATCAGGGCTCTCTTCAGAATCAGCTCCAAGAAAGCCCACCAGAAAGTCTTTGATACCTCTATTTCCTTCACCCCTCCCCACCTCCCCACACTCAACCATATCATTTATGGGGTCAAAAGCAAGGGGCTTCATGACAAACTGGGAAAATACATCATTAGAACGTGCTCACTTGTGGCCACTGACATTCAACATGCATGACAAGACAAAATGGAGACAACTGGAGTATATTATCTTGACTTTGATCACCTTAGAATGTGATCAAGCCAAATGTAACCACATGACGGGCACTCCACCACTATGAATTAATCAAATGGACCAAATACTGAACGCTTATTGGCAAGGAGACTGAAAGAAGATAAATGGATTAAAACCTTGAGTCTAATATCTCTGATAAGAGGCGTTTATAGAAAAATAAGACCATTGATGACACACTAGTGATCTTTATGGCCGACGTGTTTTGAAGAAGTTACTAAAGATTAGCTAAAAGAGTGTACTTTGCAGCAGCTCCCTGAAGTTATCTTGAAAGATGTTTTTCCTGACACCCTTTCTCCTTAGCAGGTGAACAATTGGACAGTGTGAATAGACTATCAGTCAGAGTACATCTACCTTAGGCTGCATCTACAGAGCAGGCGGTTATTTTGAAATATTGTCAAAATACTATCAAGCTGGAGAACTACTTACTCTAAATCCTGTGACCCTCATTGTACGAGAAGTAAGGAAAGTCAGAGGCAGAGTGCTTTATTTCGAAATAAGCGCTGGGTAGACGCTCTTTATTTTGAAATAAGACACACAATTGATATAGCTCAATTTGTATAGTTTATTTTGAGTTAAGTCCTGCAGTGTACACGCACCTCTACGCAATACCATTCCTGATGTTTTCGATGTTTTAAACGTACTGCTTATGTCTGTGTGGGTATGTTTTTCTGAAGTAACTTAGTGGGCGTCTACACAGCAAGCCTTTTCTTTAAAATAATGTCGAGCTCGAGAACTTCTTCCTCTAACTCCTGAAACTCTCATTTCAAGAGGAATAAAGGAAGTTGAAGGAAGAGTGTTTAGAAATTCGGGTTGATGGTCTTGGACACATGGATGGCACTTTGAGCAAAAACTTTCATGACCTTGGCCTGTTTACTCTTTCATTGCTGACGGTACCTCTTTGCAATGCTGTGCTTGGAATGATGGAGACTCCACAACCCCTCTGTTCAATTTACTCCAGTGTATTCCATTTTAGGACCCACAAGCGATGACAGAAATCTGTTGTGAAGGTTGCATCTATGAAATAAATTATTGCACCACTCAGTGTTCATATGTACCTGGAGCATTCTACTTCTGATGAAGTTTGTGAGGGTGAGAAGTCTAATATTATCATTAGTCTCTACTTTTAGACACTTACAGCAACAGTATATTTTAACTTACAATATGAATAGTGTCTATCATAACTGAATGCCATAAACATATAGGCTACGTCTAGACTGGCCCCTTCTCCGGAAAAGTCATGCAAAGCAGGTAAGTCAGAATAGGGAAATCCGCGGGGGATTTAAATATCCCCCGTGGGATTTAAATAAACATGTCCGCCGCTTTTTTTCCGGCTTGGGGAAAAGCCGGAAAAAAGCGTCTAGACTGGCGCGATCCTCCGGAATAAAGCCCTTTTCCGGAGGATCTCTTATTCCTACTTTCCCTATTCCAAAGTTTGAAATTAGCATGCCTCTTCCGGAGAAGGGGCCAGTGTAGACGTAGCCACATTGTTTTCTTAGACTCAAAGGTGGCATTTCACTTTGAGTTCTGTTTTAGTTTTACAGTGACGATGGAATTCAAAACATTAATCTACTGAATACTTCTTGCCCATCTTTCCATCCACCAAAATAAGCCCAGTATTTACCCACTGATTGGCATCTGTTTTTGTTGTGGTAATAAACACTGATAAATTCCCGGGAAATATTAAATAAAATAAAAATTGAAAAAGGGAGATATATATTACACACATACATTAAGCTAGAGTTTTTCTTATTGAAAAGTGCCTTTTTATCAGAACTGAAGTGTTTT